AATAGTAACATTGGTGGGGGTGTTATTATTATTATTATTATATTAATTATATTTGTTAATATTATTAATATTATTATTATTTTGGTGAAATAATGATATTATTATTATTATTATTATTATTATTATTATTATTATTAATGAGTATTATTATTATTATGATTATTATTATTATTAATAGTATTATAATATTATTAGTATTAATAATAATATTGTATTATTTTATTAAGTTATTTTATTAATTGGGATTAGATTTAATAAAGAAAATAGAATGTGAAGGGGTGGGGAGAGTGGTACGATACATTTTAGAAATTGAGAAAAAGGGCGATAGAAAAGAGAGAAGAGAAAAGAACGAAAGAAAGGAAAAAGAGCGAAGGAAAAAGGGAACGAAGAACGGAAGAGAAAGGGGGAAAGCCAAGAGACCAATTCTAGGAGGATTTCTATCGATCAACCAATTGATAAGGTAAGGGGGTAGAAACTTGATTGGAAATGGTTTATACATGTATAGGGTAGTTGGGGATTCCTTAACCCCGTAGGAAATTGATCGATATATGATAATATATATTGATAGGTTATGATTGATGATGATTGTTGTTAATTGTATAGTAATCGTAATGAATTGTTGTTTTTGGTTGATTTGGCATATAGGGCATATAGGTGTTTTACGGTTTTTAGGGAAAGTTATGTATGGCTTTTGAGGTATCGATAGTGTTTAGGTGATGATTTTGGGAATAGGAATTAGAAACCGATTGTTTACGGTAATAGGCAAGATTGGTACTAGAATAGGCTGGAAATCTGAGTTGAGATGATAGGCATAATTTGGCCTAGAATAGCACTGCAGAATTGTGAGGAAACTGATGAATCGCAGCATTCGCTGGGCTTCGCCTGGCGAATGTTGGCGAAGCTTCGCCTGGCGAAGGGAGGCGAGAATTCGCCTGGCGAGCTGAGGCGAAGGGGCAGCGAATAATTCAGAAATTAAGTCCCAGACTAAAAACACAAGAACTTCGCCTGGCGAATGCCAACGAAGGTTCGCTAGAAGGGTTCTCCTGGCGAATGCCAGCGAACGTAGCAGAACCAAATGAATTTTTGTGATGTTTTGGATTCGAGCGTTGGTCTCGTGTGATCCTTTTAGCCTTGTTGCAGTGTGAAAATAATGAGTGTGGGATTTAACTTGTGTACTTGGTGATGGCACGCGTTTCCCTTAATATTGTTGGTGAGCAATTAGTTGATGTATATGTGTGTAGTGATCAGTAGGATCGAGTATCCCCGAGTGGTGGGATGTAGTTATATCTGGTGTTATAGTATGAATCTGTTTACCATCTGATTGATTTATATGGTGTTGGTGTAATATATCTATACATTTGCATTGATGTATGATGATATGATCAGGAGGATCGTGTGCACTTAGTGTGCCAGAATATAATAGTTATGCATTGGTGTCTTGCATATCATGGTGTTTTGGTGGGATGAATCATGTCTCAGGAGGAGCGTAAGTGATTCATCCGTACTCCTTTGTGGAGAATGGTGGGGGATAGATCATGTCTCAGGAGGAGCGTAAGTGATCTATCCAGGTTCGATTGAACGAACCAATGAGTCGGTACCGCATGCATGGTGTTGAGTTGCATTTTTGCATTATAATATGTTATATTGTAATTTGAACAGTAGGTCCGTTATATGGCGTTGTTGGGGTGAATAATTGATGTGTTGGTGTGTTTTACTGCCTTATTTACATGTATTACATTACCATTATATTTTTGATCATGATTTCTCACCCCTTTGTTGTTGTTGTGTCTGTGCTTCTTCGGAAGTACAGATAATCCAGGTACTTAGCTAGCTTGGATTATGGTGTGACAGTCGAGTCTAGGATGCTCTAATACGTAGCACGGGACTTGGGAGTTTTTATTTGTTTTCTGAAGAACTTATATTCTATTTTCCTGTGAACGTATCACACTTTTATTGGATTTTAATATTTTTAATATTCCGCTGTATTTTGGAGGAAAACCTTTTATAAAGGAAATGTTGATTTTATGTGATATCCCACTGGGGAGAAATACTCTGATGTTTATCTACGATGTTTATTAATTTAATTGATTTTGGGAAGTGGGGTGTTACAGATGGCACCTAGAGACACACACCTTCTTTTTTCCAACCGGTGAATGTACTGTGACCTTAGAGGATGTGTGCATGTTACTCGATTTACATATTGATGGTAAGGAGGTCAATGGACCAACCAACCTTGATGGTTCAATTTGTGAGGAACTTTTGGGTGCCGACTTGCTAGATGAGAACTCAAGAGGCCAAGGTATCTTACTTTCATGCCTCAAAACATGCTACATTGTTTTATATTAGATCAAGATTCTACATAAGAAATGAAAGTAATAAAAACCAGGTGTTATCTTATGCTTTTAATTGGTTTATTTTTATTTCCTGAAGGCACCGGTTCTTCTATGCACGTTATGTATTTATCATTATTGAGAAACCTAGATAAAACAAGAAAGCATAGTTGGGGTTCCGCTTGTCTGTCTTATTTGTATAGCTCTTTGTGTAAGTGCGCCAAAAAAAACACATCTACTTTTCCTGCATGCGCCGTTTTGCTCCAAGCATGGGGATGGTCTAGATTGTCATCCCTAGCGCCCGTCAACCACAACAGCTTTTCCTTCCACGCACAAAAGTAAGTTAATAACTTAATATTAGTTTATTTTACATTACCAGTTATTGTGTCTAACTAATTGAATTTGAACTTCTTATTGTTTAGATGGTCGGCTAAGGGCATGAGTTACAATAGATGTCCTAGACTTTGTATCATTCAATACCACAATATGTTGGATCACCTAACACCTGGAGATGTAAGGCCTCTAATATTTTTCTCTTCTTCAGTTCATTTGGCGTCCACATCTAAACATGAAACACCTAAATGAAGTCAGAGAGGAAGATGCAGTCATTTGGGTTGCGTGTGTGCCGATCATCAGATTCACCACTGTGGAGATGCACAACAGTTACTATATCGAACTACAATTTGGAATGCATCAAAATATCACAGATCCCCAATCTAAAAAGAGTTAATGATTAATGGGACTATGGCGACTGGAAGGATTTTGCAAAATATGAGTATCGTAAATAGAGGAACCGCAACGCCCATGTCTTACGTGATCCAATGATGGCAACCCCGTCTATACCAACTAATAATTATATGGCTTGGTACAGATCGGTTACAATTGGGTTTGTCTCCTAAGAGAGGTATATATACGATCCACGTCAAACCACCTACACACAAGAAGTTTCAGCGTCTAACCCACCAAGAAGGTCATGTTACTCACAACCCCTACCCAACAGAATTACTAATAACCATCCAAACATGTCAAACACCCAACCACAATTCCAAGAGCGTCCCCCATATCATCTCCAACACACTGACTACTATCAAGAAATCCAATATGGCTATGCCCCAACACAACATCAAGATATATCCAAAATGAGGGTACAACATACCATAGCCATAACACCTAAACATCTTTCCATAGCCAAAATGCTCAGACATCATACCCTAGCCTACACACCCAAACATCCCAACAACCTTATGACTTTCAAACACCACTACCATTTTAACATTTCACCAACGAATCTTTCACACCAATGTCCCCCTTCAATCGTCCAGGCCGCACACCAATGACCCCTTTATCACATCCGAACTACTTTGGCATGGGTCGCACTCTCAGTTTCAACACAGAAGACCTCATGGAAATGCAAGAAATTCTTAGGGAACCATCTGGGAATGTTCTTGAGACTTCAACTCCTCAAACACCTAGCGTGAATCAATAACGAGGGAAACGAGTGCAACGATGGAAACGAGTGCAACGAGGAGAACGAGTGAGGGTGCCTAGAGGATGTGGAACCGGTGGCCGATATGACCGACCCAGTCGCCAACATTAATTTATGTAATAGTATTTTTAATTAATGATAATGTTATTTATTTTTGGTAAAAGAATTTATAGAATGCACTGTGTCTCCAGATGAATTGTCGACTCCTCTTTAAGAATAACACTCAGTCGCCAATTGAATTGGAGACACCTCATGATGTCTCCATTTCAATTGGCGACTTCACTCATGCCTTATAACAAGGGGTCGCCAATTCACATGGTGCCTCTATGCAGTGAGTACTCCATTTAAAATTTGTGTTTGTTCAAAATATTGTAAAATGTGAGGTATTTTGAGAATTTTTTTAAAAAACTGAATTATTTTGATAAAAAAAAATTCAAGATTAAATTCATTTGCATTTGACAATATCATTTTTTTTTTCCTTTTCTTTTTTCCACAGTAACAAGTTAAGATCGGCTGTAAACTTCTTATTGTCACTGTTTATTTGCAACAACAGATGCACTTTCCTGTGGCACATGCTAAAACTTAATGCTACTGTTTTGCTTTTTAGAGTTCAAAACTACTTTTGCTTATTTATTTATATATGAATCAGAGATTCAATTCACCTTTGTAGTATGTGCATATATGATTGTTCTTTCATGTGCTAAAGGGTCATAAAGAAATGGAAGGAGAATTTCATTATTATTGGGGTAATCTTGGTGAGTTAAAATTTCTGGAAGACTTTCTTAAATTGCAAGTGAAGCGACATTGATATTGGTGACATTTTTCCAACCATTTGTTAGAATTCTAACAAACCAAATTACCATAATGTCAAAAACAAATCTTACAATTCAATCTATATGAGGAGTAAAATACACAAATTCTAGTTTTATGTCAATAGAGTTGATGGCAAGTGGCAGCAAACTTCACGACCAAACACAAATTCCAGTTTCCAGTAGTATTAAATTCTGATATAGCAAATTTTGAATTAAGAAAATCTTGTTTTATTACACAGTTCAAGAAAACTGAAAAATACAATGTCACGCTTTAGTGCCTTAAACTATTGCAATAAGCACAAAGTTGGTGTAATTAAAAAGCTTAGAAGAGTTTCCCCAAACACAAGTAAAAAATGCTCCTCAAATAACATGTCAGCTACATAGATTTGGTATGCACACTGCAGCATCTTGATTCTGTTCCTTCCATATTCTTCCTGTCACTCTAAGTTTCAGCTCCTTTCTATCCCCACCTGAGAAAAACAGTGCCATATTTCTTTGAATTATGAGACCATCGTGGCTATCCCTGACTTTTCGGTGGCTATCCCGAACACTTCGCGGTGTACCCTCCCAAATTAGTTTCCTGCCATTGGCACCAACTTCCAGGCTATAACTGTAGTTCCGAGCTTCATTCTCATCGCCCATGAATCGAAGGAATGCCATGTAAACAGGAGCCATGCCAAGCTGAAAAGCTTCGAAATGAAGGCAGAAATATTGGCCAAAGCAATGAAATACCTAACAGAGAAAAATTAAATCGGCAAACAGAAGAGTCAGACGAAGTGAGGTGTATATATATACCGAGATAAGATTATGTTATTACAGCCAGAGGGTGAATTGATACTAAGTTTTAGTGATCCGTCACTCGTGAGAAGAAAAATAACTTAACCAATGATATGTGACAAATATGGTTCATCCATTTGAAAGCATTTCACCATTAAATCAGTTAACCTTATTGATAGAGAAAGTCGGAAATTGTAACCGCACAATCAGTTTTTGTATCATTGAATATATGACAGCAAAACAACTTTGAGGATTCTAAAAATCAAAGGAAAAAATAAGATGTGTTAACACTTACTGTGAGCATCCAGGTTGCATTCTCTACTTCACGAGGATTCGACTTCACATAACGATGGTTGAATGTGCATCCGGTGTGCATGTCAACCTTATGATCATCCCTCAAATGAGCAACGAGGAAGTTAATATCGCCAACAGTGGAACACTCGGATCCAGCATAAGGACAAGTATATGGTCTAAAATTACAGACTGTCTCATGCTTAAGCTTGCTGTAGTATGGAAAGATTTCAGGACATCCGAGGTTGTAGTACTTGCACGGTAACTCGAGTGATTCCGCCACCTTCTCCAATGCCAGACACCTAATATCTCCAAGCTCTTGTCTACATGTTGGACATCGGTTATGCACCCGTGTTTTGCATGTCGAACACAGTGTGTGACCATTGTGACACTGCAAAGAAACTAATTGTCACATTTTCTCCTCTCCTTTTCGCAAATACATACACTTTTGCAGCTTAAATCATGACAGGATCGACTTTCTCGCAAATCAAATGAAGAAATTTACACAAGCCAAACGAATCAAAGACCCGCTAAAGTTTATTCGACATGAGTAAGTTTCACCTTACAACAGGCTAAAGATCTAATGCTTAAAATTTCAGCTTTGTCATTTGTAGGAAAATAACTATCAAACTACAAAATGCATGTTGTGATTAACAAGTGTTGTCGTAATTTCAAATGAACCCTAAAATCATTCAATTCAAATGAACCCTAAAATCATGAAAAACATGAAAACCCTAGAAATCTGTCAAACCAAATCCAAGGAAAATTTGATCATGGATATCAATTAATTAATCAAAAGAAAAACTGACCTGATGAATTGGAGGGTACATAGAATTAGTACAAACAGGACATTCAAGCAATTCATGAACGCTGGTTATAGGAGCAATGGCATTAGGACCCAAAATATTATTGATATTTGCAGCAGCATTTCTATGCTTTGTGGAAGAAAACTCAGAGTGATGATGCGGATGGATCTCATCTTCATCCATGCCATCTGAGGATGTCACACACTCAATGTTATTCAACTCCATCAACTCACAAACCCTTCTTCCCACCTCTCAAAGAGAAAAACACCCACTTATCAAAATCGAAACTTTCACCGAATTTCTTATCTGGGCATTCCCCTTTTCAATTTTCTTCCCCAAATCCTCTCAATTTTCCAATTTCTTCCCCCAAAAAAATATTTTTTTCTGAGAAAAGTGTAACAAGAAAACGAAAGAGGAATGGGAAGAGATGATGAGAAGGAAGACGGGGTGAAGATGGATCGATAAATGGGGGAAAATCGAGAAACCTAACTCTGTTCTGGTGAAGAACAGGTTCTTTTCTTCGTTGGCTCTCTTTTTCTCTCTCTTCGTTGTGCACAGCAAAACAGAGAGAGAAAATGAAAGGAGAACCGTTCAATTTCTGAAAATTAGATGCTTGATGGATCAATCCAACGGTAAATATATTTCTTTGATGTTTTTCTTTTGTTTTTTGTTTTTATTTTCTTGGTAAATTTACTTTTTGGGTAATTTAGTTGTTTTAAGTTAAAACAAAATCAGAATTATAGTACTTGTAATTAAAACAAATTTAACAGAATTACGTATAGCACAACTTTTTTTTTAGATCCTTTTGTATTAAAATAACAAAATTTTATTTGAAATGGCATGTCTAAACAACCTAACTAAAATATCATATAGACCAACTGCTAAAAAAAATTCTACAAATGAGGATCCAACATATATGATCGTCTTTATGAATAATAAGGATTTATTCATGAAGCCTAAGCAATCGCCTCTATAGACAATTTAGATAAGGTTTCCCTCTAATCTTTACTTCCTACAAAACAAAGCAATAGCAATCCAAAATTTATAGGATAATATGAGGCGACTCATTAACAACTCGTGCACATTAATACAGAATATTCAAAAAAATTAACCATACATGCGACAGAAATGATATCTCGTCTTAATCAATCCAAAAAAGAAATTAAACTAAACTAAACTAAAAATAGCTTAACGTCTAAAATAATTAAAGGTTCCTAAAAATTCCTTTTTTCTGCTACCTTCATGCTTTTTTGGAGTAGGGCGATCAGATCTTCATCTTCGGGAGTTACCTTTTGAGGCATGACCCCCAAATCACATTTATAACATTCACTTCATGCACGTCCGCTCACTAGGTATGAAATCAACCATAGTCTTCTTCAACTTCAAGCTCTCTACATAGCACTTCCTAGTGATATCTTGATCCTCGTGGATAATCTCAACTCGTCCATCTGGGTGTGGGTATTTCAAGCATAGATACAACGTAGATAGGGCAACTCCGAGTTGGTTGAAAGTACATTATCCTATAATCATATTATATGAGGAAGGTGCATTTAAAACCAAATATCTTACCTTGACCAACATGGTGTTCTCCTCAGCTCAAAACATAGTCTCCAGGGTAATCCTTTTACCTACACTTGCTCGCTTGAGATTCCTACCAATGAGCCTTGGAGGACTTTGAGGTCGTCTAGGTCCAAGCAGAGTCGTTCAAAAGCATTTGAATAGAAGATGTCTCTAAAGTTTCCTTCATTAACCGCCACTCTCTTCATCTCCCAATTGTCACACCTTACGGTTATGACCATGAGGTTGTTATCGCGTGGGTGGATGAATGCAATGTCCATATCAAAAAGGTAATCTCAGATTCTATGGGGCCCTTATCATGAGCGTCAGAGCTTGTTGGCGACCCCTTAAGGGTGAGAATTTTCCGTGCATCCTATGGGTAGAACTAGTATCCCCGCCCCCCGAAGAATCCTCCTGTTATGGTATTAAGGGTGTGGTGTATATGCATGTCCTCTCCCCCCGACTGTTGGTTCCTTTCCCTTCTTAGATTTGGTACTCTCTGACACATTTTTTCTCTTAGATTCAGATCCTCTTGACGTCTAAGTGGCATCGCCCCTGACATACTTCTTCAAGTGACCCTCTTAGGTGAGATGTTATATCTTCTTCTTAAGTTGATATGAGTTTTCAATATGGTGTCATTGATCTTATGAAACTTGCACCATTTGATGGGCTTGAGCCCCATGCCATCTGACTTGGATGTTGGTGGTCGTGGAATGACATGCGTATAGAAGACTTCACAATATATCTTCTAATTAAGGATGTTTAAAGGCGAGAAGCTCTCACAAGGTTCCCCGATTCATTTAAATGTCGCATTGTCTGTGATGGAGGAGGTGTAGTGGTTTTTCTGTGACTGATGTGAGCTATCAGGGTTGTTAGTTGTATGTTTTTTTTTACTTCTCTAGCCTTTTTTTGGTGTTGCTTTTCTCGCCATTTTTATAGGATTTTCCATGTATTACCACTTCCGCTAAAGAAGTCGATGGCCTCTGGGCGAAGAATTAATTAAAATGCTCAACTCTTAGTCTATTTTTGAACGCTGCCACAAACATTTCATGGTTGGGATAGACGGCCTTAATAGTCGCCTCATTGAAGAGGGTGAGATATTCCCTCAAAGATTCAAAAGGGCTTGGAGAATGTTGAAAATAGTGGTGGTATACATCTTTTTGTGCCTATTTTTTGGAAACTGATGGACTTATTTCTTCACCAGGTCATGGTAGTTTGAAACCAATTTTCTCTCCGCCTCTGAAGGTTCTAGAGAGAAGCTTGCATTTTAAAGAATTATAAACTCCAATAATTTCCATCTATGTGTTTATGGATGAGACATGTTCATATGGGTCAAAGTGCTCATCAAACTTGGCAAATAAAGGCGGATTGAAGAGCACCGGTTCCCTCTATATCTCATCAGAGAGAAGTTAGGGGTTTAGGATTTGAGTCTTCTAAATAGGGCCAGCTTCTTGATGACGTTACTAGATGTGAAGTATGTTACGCTGCATAATTTTATTTTGGCGATGTAAGTCATCCATGGCGGAGCGCATTTCTGCCATGGCATTCTCATCATCGTCGAAATCACTGTTGGTCGTAGTTTTTGCCTTCTTATTTACCATGTTGGATAGTGGGGTCAGATAAGTGGGTAGAAATCTAGCCAAATGATGTGGTGGTAGCCCAGGTTATTTTTATTGGTCCCCACAGTGGGCGTCAATTATACTTGCTAAAAGTACAATATGTGACAACCCCTGTCTATGTAGGATTTTTTGGAAGTTTTAGATTTATTATGGTGTTTGAGAAAGCTTGTGCGAGGATGGTGAGAAACTATGTATACTGGTGTTTCATGAGTAAATTGAATGTCCTAATCAACCTGATTCTTTAGGTATTTATAACTCCCTTTTGAGCCTGGATCTTCGGTTCGAAAAAAGTAATAACAACTTTTCCCCCTCTTAAGAGCGTGGGAAATTGGTAGTTTTCTCCCTTACTATACTGGAGAATGTGGTTTCCCCCTTTAACTTTCTCTCTTACACCGTTTTGACAGGGAGATATCATCTCCTTCATTTCCATAAACGAGCTAGTAATCCAATCAACGAGTGACCAATGTGAATAACAGGCGGATGCTCCAATAAATGAATGACTAAGAAGCTGGTAGGGGCGATGTAATCCTTGGAAAGGTAATTTCCCTTAAGTGGTCTAATTTGTCTTGAAACATATGCAATGAATTTACAGCTTTATATCAACACATGTTCTAAACCTTTCATAGAAGCATCACATTTAACCTTTAAACCTATTGTAGAATTAGGAATCACCATGATATGTGTTTTAGTAAAACAAGTATTTAGCTCTTAGAAAATTATCTCACACTCATCAATTCATATAAAGGAATTACCTCTATGAGTTAGGATGGTTAAAGGTGACATTTTGTGACAAAAATTTCTAATGAACTTCTGCCATTAGTTTGATAATGCTAGGAAACTCTACACTTTTGTGATGTTGGCGGGGAATTCCCAACTTGAAATGGCTTCTACTTTTGATGGATTAACCACTACTCCCTTATGGAAGATTATGTGATAAAAATTACACTTCGATCATCAAAAACTTACAAGTACTTAATTTGTTGAAAAATGTTTTTTTTCTCTAAGAATATGCAACACTGTGTTAAGGTCTTTTTTTTCTCGGTGAAAATCATAACAATAAACTATTTACATTTGAATTGTACCCGAAGATGTATCTCTAGAATAATTTAAAATATTCAATACATCCCACTCATAAACCATTTACATTTGAATTATACCCGGAGGTGTATCTCCATGAATATTCCGGAGATACATCTCCGGAATGTACCAGAATAGGTCTTTCTTGCTATATGTTGTTTGTGGTGTTCAAATGAAAGTTTAAAAGATATCGTACAAACGAAAATAAAAAAATAGATGTACATAATTCCAGATGGACCAAAATACCATACAAAAATAAAATATCAATAAATGTCGAAAATGTCGTACAATCGAGATCAATAAAGTAGGAAGACTGTCAAAATAAAATATAGACCATAGTACTACAAATATATAACAAGATACTATCGTGTGTGTCTGACAACCTATCCTCTATCTCCTCTGCCTCGTCTACCTCCTTAGTCGTCAATCCCCTCTGTCTTCTAGCGATGTCTATGGTACAACCATGTCCTGTGTGCCTCCGCCATGATGGCATCTAGGACTCACCTAACATCAAACCCATCGGGGAAGATACCTATGTCAATGTTTTCCTGTGTAATCTCCATAATACAATGACACCTAGGCAAGACATCATCAGTATGATCTAGTTGTGTCTGCTCCTCCTCTAGTATCTCCTAATGAGCCGGTCTCAGCGAATCTCTTGGAGCATAATGCACTATATATGAATGTGACACTCTGAAGAATCATCTGGTAAACTCTTTGACTTAGCTCCAGTCGCTCTCAATGTACTCGAGCACACTCGCTCAGCCAGAGATGCGCAGGAAGTGTTGGAGGATCTAAGCCTGAAATGAAAAAGTCTGGAACACACAAATCATCGATAATGGCTTTGTAAATATGAAATAAAAATAAAATAAAAATATTCAAAGACCAATAATTATTACCATTAGTAATGTCACGCTGCCAGTGGCCTGCTTCGGCTTCCACATACCACACTCTCTCAACTTTGAATACAGG